ATTACCTGATTTTATATACGAAGACAAACATGTATATGTCACATTTTGATTGTTTTCAATGTCATTGTTTACATTTGAATTTTTGGGTGGTTCATTGCAGATCTGGTCTGGAGCATCTTTTCTAATTGGTTCCTGGCATTCTTCGTGATGATGTAATGGATCACAATCATAACACCTGAGCGAGCTCTGGCTGAACACTGAAAAATTTTTGTGAAATGAAGTAATTTTTTTTAACAATGTGTGGAGATAGCTATTCGAATTTTTTCACTTTACGATTCTTGGATGGGAGTGTGTTTAGAACATCCATCCAGTGGATTTCAAAAGTAGAATTCAGAACAAATATTTTTCTGAAGGCGATTGTTGATGAAAAGGAGAAATTAGGGTTCAGACGGAAAAAATATAAAACTTTCTATGAATACTATAGAAAAATAATAATTAGATTGGTCTACTGTAACGATTTGATTCGATTTTGAATTTCATTAGTTCGGACTTGACAATGGAAGGTTGAACTAATGATTCGAACTATGATTCGAAATCTATGAAAGAACAAATAAAATTAGAATGAATAACTAAAATGTCAATTACATTAAGCAATAAAACCTGAAATGAAAATACAATAAAAAGAATAAAAATAAAAAAAATAAAATAAAAAAATTCAAACCAAGTTACTTCACGATCTTGGCAAGATCCACGTTCTAATATCACATTGGATGTTGTTCACAGTTGGTGCCTGAGGGAGCAGATGTCTGTCAACCCCAGCAAAACTGTGTTAATTCCCTCACCAAGAGAAGAAAATTGGACGATCTAACGCCACTTTCCCTCAATGGTGAGGTCTTTAGATCTTGGTATTGTCCTTGGCAAAAACTCACCTGGAACGCTCACTTGGAAAAGGTATTACACAAAGCCAGACTGTCTCTATGGACATGTCGAAGGATTTGTGGTAAAACTTGGAGTTTAGGTTCCAAACAAATCCATTGGATTTATGTGATGATTTTTAGACCAATGATCACTTATGGTGCAATTGCCTGGTGGCCGAAAACTTTACAGAAAACGGCCCAAGCGAAGCTCTCTGGCTTACAGAGACAGGTTTGTCTGTCCATCTGTGGTGCCATCAGTACTACACCGTCAGCGGCCATGGAGATCTTCCTCTTCACATTTTTCTGGAGAGAGAGGCTAGATGGACTGCATACAGACTTGTGCACATTGCTAATTGCACAAATCAATTCAATGCAGAGGTCAACAGACTGTTGGTTGACACTGGAAGTCACAGCATTCTGGAAATGACCTCTGACTTAATGCCTCTAACTGTCAACTATGAACTGCATTATAAAGTACTGTTCCTGAGTAGACAGGACTGGATCCTCCGGGAGGAGGAAATATTAAGAGCAGATAGTTGTTGGTTCACAGATGGATCAAAAACACCTTCCGGTTCTGGTGCAGGTGTTTTTAGTCGCAGACCCAGAACAGAGATATCTACCTGCCTAGGAGCCTATGCGACTGTATTTCAAGCGGAAATTTACGCTATTGAATTGTGTCCGGAGAGATTAGAATAATCCAACCTCATACACAAGTCAATAAAAATATTCTCGGACAGTCAAGCGGTGTTGGAAGCTCTTGGCTCCTACCGAGCAACGTCTAAATTGGTAGCAAATTGCCTAAAACGACTCTCCTCGATAGGAAGACTTAACATATTGTCTCTGGTCCGGATTCCTGGCCATACTGGCCTGGAAGGCAATGAGGCTGCCGATTTCCTTGCGAAGGAGGGTGCTGCAAGCAGCTTCATCGGACCAGAACCTGCCATTGGCATCGCTTTAGGCTTTGCCAAACAAAGATTGAACGTCTGGATGGCAAGAAGATTTATGAACTTCTGGCAGAATCTTCCAGGATTGGCTCACTCTAAGGCGTTTATTCACCCTTCGAAGCTTGATTCCGAACAGTTGTTGGACTGCAGTAGGGATGAACTACGATGTCTAATAGGCTTTCTTACAGGTCACTGTCATTTGAATCATCATATGCAGAGACTCGGACTGTCGGAAGACAGTGTGTGTCACCTCTGTTTGGAAAATGACAAAACAGCAAAGCATATACTCTGTACCTGCCCCGCTGGGGACCGAACCAGGTTTTTAGAGTTCGGCAGAGCCGTACTCTTACCATCTGAACTGAAAGACCACTCACCATACAAACTAATCGGCTTCATTAAGAAGCTAGGTTTATTTGGCTAGGTTTATTTGGCTAGGTTTATTTGGCCAACCCTTGCGGGTTGCTATGGAGGGTCAAATAGACCCACTCACTTTAAACCTAACCTAACCTACTTCACGACGGTTCGATTGTTAGTATTCATAATCGTCTTCGGTTGATGACCGTGTATGCGTTTCCTCTAACTTCACCCACGTGCTTTGAGTATGATTTCTCTACAACTCGAAGCATTTGTTACTAGGCCAATGGCCAATTCACTAAATATTGTTGTTCTTTCTACAACAAAGTCCGCGATGATATATGCGTATCTTTTAAGGATAGCTATTAATAACCATTTCAATGTTTAAAATATTAGTCATATAATGTGGTAATTGAAAGCTATATAAATATATATGATATTAATTCTTATCTAATGAATATGTTAGTTGCCTGAAGCATTTTGACTTCAATTAACATTTTTGTTTATACAGTGTGTAAAAGCCAAATGGAATAAATTCATTATTTCGGTTACTGTACATATTTGAAAAAAAACCTGAAACACGTCGAATATAAATTATAATTTGACATTCTTCAACGTAAAAATGCTACCCCTATCTTCCAACCCTCTTCTAATGACAGGAACAACCCCCAATTTTTTAAATGGGAAGTATAGGTTTGTGATATATCTAAAGCAAATGAACTTTAAACGTTCAGGCCAGTCTCCATATACCTACACAGTAGGTTTAATGGACTGACGCCTATCAGAAAACAACTACTCCCCTGGATAATACCACGAAGGGCGTTGGATTATATCTGACAGGCGTCAGTGCAGGAATCTTCACAGAAAATTTTCTGCATATGCAGTTGGCAATACAACTGAAAGAGTCGACCCTCAATAATGGAACGGGCACACTTGCAGACCGGTTTTGGGCTCATTAGCCACTCGGCAAACTACGGATATGCAGTTTGTTAGTACCTCGTCCACTAGATGGAGTGACATTTTGTGATGTTCGCTCCAACTTCGGAAGAGGAATGAAATACTCTGAAAGAATTCCGAATTTCTGGAATATCATTGACTTTAGGTCGATGATGGTCACTATCTTGTACTAACGAGTGGCTAATGAGCCAGAAACCGGTCTGTAAGTATATGTATCGTTTATTTAGCACAAGACTCTTTCAGTTGTATTGCCAATTGCATATGCAGGACATTTTCTGTGAAGATTCCTGCACTGACGCCTGTCTGATATAATCCAACGCCCTTCGTGGTATTAGCCAGGGGAGTAGTTGTTTTCTGATAGGCGTCAGTCCATTNACTCTATATGAGACAAACTATTTAAATAAATATTCACCCACAGTGTTTCAATAAAATTATATGGTTAGCCACCAGACGAAAAAACCCTAAAACTTACTTACCAATAGCTCTATTCCTCCGTTCAGCTATAGAACGCAGCTAATCCTTTTATGGTTCGCTAAATCTAACACCAATTCCGAATTTCACTCGTCGAATTTGCAACCCAAAAGAAGGAAAGGAAAATCGGGTTTTTCCCAAACTCCCAAAAGTACCTTGAATATCACCCTTTTCGAATAACTCGCGACTGAACTCTCGGTTACCCCTTTCTTTCTACTACTTAATTAGTTTTCCGACTTTATCTCAAAAAAAAAATTCTCCTCTAATTGATTTTGCTCAAATCGACCCTTCGACGACCCAAAATCACTGACGGACACCTCACGACCTCCCAAACTTAAACCCTCTAATTATTTTCTCTCAAATCGACCCTTCGACGACCCAATATCACCGACGGACACCTCACGACCTCCCAAACTTAAAAAAAAAGAACCCTCGCGTTCCATCTCTCGCGACAAAATTTTTCCTGAGTCAGCGGATATTTCCCTTCTCAAAATTGAATGGCAAAGTTACGGCCCATACATCCAATCAGAGAATTCAATTCTATCATTTAGTTCTTTCAGTCGCTTCGTGATTCGTTAAGTATTTAAGTGGTTTTTAGCATAACGTTCCCAGCTTATCGCTGACTTTTCAAAAGACCCAGCTGCGTTTCATAAACAAAGTGTCTCCAGCTATCAATAATAATGAGTTTTTTCGTCTGGCCCTTACAAAGTAACTATGAATAAACCCACTGTATCTTGTGGTTAAGAAATATACCTTTAGCACGTACAAATCATATATACATCCGTTCAGTAAGATATCGTTTTCTTTTGGAAACTTTCCAACATTTCACGATTCCCCATGAACTTCAATTTTTCCTATTTAGACAAATAGGTGAAACCACAAAATAAAAAATAAAATACATTGCGACTTCTCATAATGCGATCTGTTACAATTGAACTAATGGATTCAAATATATCCACCATATTGCGAATAGTTCTCTAGGTAGGACGATTATGGCGACCGTAAAATGGCAAAGTGCGCGCTACGTTGCCGAACAGAACAAAACAATTTTATTATTTGCACGTGTACTTGACTGTTATATAGTTTCATGGTGATTTGGCAAAACAGACTGAATGAATGGCAACTAATTCCACAGATGTAGCTTCAACAACATGGCCGTTATCTGTTTAAAATCTCTGTTTAAAATCTGTTTTTCCGTTAACCAGCTGTCGCACCCCTACGAACGACAACCCTCAGAAGTCGAAACTTGTATGAGCTAAGGATTAACGAGGTCTTACCTCAGGACGTGATTCTCAACACGGAAGTGTTAGGAAGTCCCTGTTGGAAGATCCTATTTATTGGACTAATGTTTAACGGATAGAAAAAAAATTGAATTGGTTTTCTGCAATTATATAATAAAATTTCATCAATTCGAAAATATCACAGATCTGGCCTGCTCGTTCTCCCGAATTAACCCCACTTGACTATTTTTGTAGGGTCATTTGAAAGTTAACTACAAGAGACCAAATAACATCGATGGTTTAAAGGCATAATAGAGCAAGAATCAATCAAATCTTCCTGGAAACAAAAAACAATGTTTTAAAAGAGAGAGTTTAAAATTTGAACTTGAAAAATAACATTGTTGAACTGAAAAATGATGTTTCTGGATTTCCATCATTTATAGACCGAAATATACAATCTTCAATACCTTTCTACTGTTGCAGATGGAGTCTTCTGCTAAAACCCTACTAATATCCTCTACACAATCGGCTATGTACTCTTTCGGGGATCCTTTCACTAGCCCGGACAGTACAATCAAATGTCCATAATGGGCACCATCTTCAATAACTGGGATAATCAGGTCAGACCAAACGTTGTATCTCACGAAATAACCAAGAAGTTGGCTAGCTTGAATAATATTGTCAACCACTCGATTATCGTCATCTCGTGCAGCTGAATACATGGCTGGGAGAAGACTCTGAAGGTTTTGGGTAATACCATCTTCTGCATGTAGTACTATCGCACATAACAATTGGCTACAACGTACTCTCACATCCTCTTGCCAACTCATCAGCTCCCGTGAAAGTGCGGAAGCCAGTTTACTTACATTACGCTTCACTAATGTTCGGCAGCCCAAATTGGGACGAATTATGTTTTCGGGATAATATTTGGGAAGGTCAATTAGATAATCTAAAATAAAATTAATGAAATTCATTGAGTAGAATATCCAAGAGCTCTAGAATTAGTTCAATGATAAATATTGAATATCCAAACTGATAATAAAAATAATAACCAATAGATAATTATTTACCTAACTCATCTTTCAAGTCTTTCTCATTTTCTTTTTGAAACTGCAATCCAACTTGCTCCCATAATTCTGCAGCTTCATTTCTAGTCTCAACCACTTCATCATTCAAGCCAGTCAGGAGCAGAGGTAAAATCTTGTGAAAAAATGAATATCGATCCCTGTACTCTAAAAGCCACCTTGCTGCCACTTGGCCAACAGTTTGTCTGACAATGGGAATTTGATCGAAGAGTCGCTCTGCTAAAGGGCCTACTACTTCATTCAAACCGTTATGATCACAATGCATTACTATTTCACCTATAGCTTTTATAGATTCTACTCTGATTTTATATCGCTGATGCCCAAAGCAGCTCAAAACTGGTTTGATTAAATTTCCGGCTTGACAATGAAAATCTCTGGGGAGAGCATTAGCTAATTTCAAAATGAGTCGACAACTTAGCTCTTTCATTAATGGAAATTTATCCTTCACTGCTTCAGCCAATATTATGACTGAATCATTTAGAAATGGTTTTAGTTGATTGGTATTAGAATATTTGGTAATAATTGCATCAAGTAGCTTTACCATCTGTAAGCGAATTTCTTCTGATTCCTCTATCAATTCAACACTACCAATTCTTTCAACCAACAAAGGAAACACATATGATAAGTAATAATCATTAATAGGTAATTTTTCAATAATCAAAAACTTGACAAATTCTATAGCCTGCTCTCGGACAGATTCTGTTTTATCTCTCAAGCCATTCAAAGTATACATATATGTCTCACTGAAAATATTCCGAAGTTCTTGATTGCTCAATTCACTGTGACTTCTCAAATATTTTTCGATACTTATATATGCTTCTTTCCTGATTTTCCTGTCAGAACTCTGAAGTCCAAGACACATTTTTTTTAGGTCTATAATGGTATCTTCAGACCCTTGATCTTTCCCCATATCCATTGCAAAATGAATTCACTTATGAAGGAAACACGAACTTGTCTTCAGTCAATAATGAGTTATGATTTAAAATACAACAACCCTTTTAAATATCAGCCTAATCTGTTACCAGTTACCATAACAATACTAGAAATTAAATCAATCAAAATAAATCTCTTTTTATTTATCATGTTGGGTGTTTGTTTCCTGCTGTATTAATACTAATTAAAAAGCATCTCCAATGCATAACTAGGTTAGATTCGATAAAGTTATAACATCTGTAAAATATAAACAAATACAAATATTTTGATCATTTCAATTCAAACAGTGTTGTCACAGTATTTTGTATACAGAAATACTGTGGTGTTGTGAGATTTTCTTGACACCTCAATATTTTAGTAGTGGATATAGTATTGTGACGTGACAGTGTAGTATATTCCAAGGCCATAGAGTATATAGTGGGGAAGATACGAAATGTTAAAGATTTTTGGGTGCTACGTCTCTGATGTCATTGGAAGGAAAATGGCGCTAAATTTGAAATGGTATCATACATACAAACAAATATCAATCACATCAACAGAAGAGTCTCCAACAGAGCCTATAAACATGAGCAAGCTGTTCGTAAATCAGATCCAGCCTTATCCCTTTCCAAACATCATCGTGAAACAGGCCATTGCCACCGAAAAACTATCCAGGCCAGATTACTTCTTTGATGAAAATCATTACTGTAACACCATAAAACATCAAGGAACATTACCTCTTCCACAAAAAATAATGTCTTTCAAAGAATATTTACTGAGCGAGTTTTACAATTCCAATGTTCTTCAATGTGATCAAATATGTTTCAAATTGACCAATGAGTTGATTCACCGTTGGATGAATATTGGACTGCTGAATAAACTTACTACTGTTGATATCTAAAAGAAGAGGGTTTTCGTCAGCTTTCTTCTAGATTCTTTCATTTGTACTGTGAATTCCCACTTACATAAAAGTTTGCCTGAGAATAGTAGCCTCCAAAGTTAATGCACATTGGTGTTCTTTTCACATTTCTGGATGTTCATTATTGTTTGGAAGAATGTTATTTCCAACACACGTTCACATAGGTCATGTATTTCAGAAAATCACAGAACAGGGAGTATGTGACCTTGCTAGCCTATGCAAATCACGGAAACAGATACGCACTCAAACTAGTATCTCAGTAATTTTAAATAACTTTTTGAAGACTAAAGCCTATTATTTGTTATTGTATACTATTAGTTGTTACCTGCAACTTCATTCACGTGGCTTTCAGGTTTTCCCTGATTTTCTAACAACAATATATTGAATATTACTGGAGTTTTTTCCCAACACCAAACCATTATTTTAACACCTTGGCACTTGTTTCGATCACCAAGTGATCATCTTCAAGAATACGATCAAACGTTTGTTAATTTATAGTGTTATAATTTATAGTTTTCATTTTATTCAAGTCTCATTATTATGTTCAGATAATCTTTATTGTATACTAGGATGTGCATTCCTATTTGAAATGAGTGATTCATTTCCATTGATACAATAGATAAAATAAAGTCATAATTCATAATAGTTTTTACTTGTTTGTTGAATTCACCCAACCAAATCACTGATTTGAGCAGCTTTTTCGTAGTAGTAGAACCTCTTATTTAATATACTGAAAACTGCTTATTTTTACACCAAAATTTCGATATGCTTTCTACCGTCAAACATAAAACCAGATAGTCAGTTGTTATCATCTCCTGTTAACAGAAAAACGTTTTGTCAAATGAAAGCATCAAAGGTTTAAGCGTTTGAGGATATTGAACACATTGAGAGAATAGTTCATCATAATATCTAACCTAAAACATTATCATTCTCCCCATTAGATTTTCCATATTCCATCCTGACCGTGTGTGTATTTTAGTGAAAAAAGGTGAGCACATTTATCCTGATTTTAAATGAACTATAAAATCAAATAAATTTCAAGTGTCTCTAGTTGAAATACAAATCTATATAGTTAATATTCAAATCTATTTACCAGTGACTTTGCTGGCGTGGACTGCAGTTGTTAGGTTTTCCTAGACTACATAGCCAGCCTTTTTTTGATATCTAAAAACATCGTTTTAAAAACTGTAAATATAGTTTCAGACAAATCAACAGTATTTTCATAGTATTTTTGTTCCCACAATTACAAATTTTTTATTTATGAACTGATTTAAATAAATCGAAAACTAAATGTTACGCCTGAAGAAGTTATTGTATAGCGAAACACGTTTTGCGGGTTTCGTAAAACTGTTTAGTGAAAATCTAGCAATATAACGTTTATGGAAATATATGTATTGATTTGCATCGGTATTTTAGACAATCTTTATAATGTGTGGCCATTTTAAAAGTATAGAATATTACTTTCATGATTTTCCCAGTACTTACTATCTTATAAAGAAGATTATGAAACAAACCGATACAAGTAATTGTAAAATTTTTGCTTTTAGACTCATTTCATGAAAGTAACTTTTTTCTTCTGTACTCTCCTGACTAACTGCTGTGGTGATTGTCTACATTTATCTCAAGAGTTTTGATATCTACTCAAAAAATAGATTGAAAATATATTTTTTGTAAATTTTCTAAACAAACAATGATAGAAATAGTTTCAATATACTTTTAGAGTAGATTGAAACACAGATGTAAGTTTGCTAATGACTACATTCGTCTCAACAGCTTTGACCTGCTCGAAAAGAGGATGGCAATTATATCTGTTTGCCTTCAAAATTGAATAACAGAAAGAGTTTCAATTCAGTTTTCAAAGACATCGAAGTCATCATAAACATGATTGATAATTTGTAGCCAAAATAAAACAACTTCAAGAACTGTACTAGGAAGATATACTAGATTTTTCTTCCTCAATCTCATTTAACCTGTCAATAATGTCTTTAGTGGGCAATCCATGCTTCTTATTGTACTCAAGAGATTGTTTCAGTTGAAATTCTTCAAGCCCATGTATCCGGCTGTATAATGAAGTGCTGAGATCCGCATCAATGTCATTTTCCTCTCTCAATATACAGAAGTAAATCATGAATACAGTCATGCTCACGACTATAACATAAGGTTCATACCAAAGCCTTGATTCATTTTCTCCTGTTCTAGTTGTATGGGCTTTATAAGTTCTGGCTGCACTAGACGAAAATTTAATAGGTCCATCATCTAAAATTTCTTCCTTTGGTTTTCCCTTTGTGCAGAAGTTAGTTTTTGGAAGTCTAGATAAAAAAAATTAACAAGGGATAATTGACTCACACTGATCTTACCTATAAATACATCTGCACATTCCATAGTTCACTAGAGACCTGAGTCGATACATAATGTTCAAGTAAGTTCCACTTTAGTATCTATAAAAATAAATAATTTTCATATTCAATTTAGAATATGGGGTTAGGTTCTTTATTTTTCATTATTTCACAGAATAATATATACTTACTTTATATATAATATCTATGGTTGAATGTCGGAAAAACAAATCCGAATTCAAAGTCAGTAATACCAAAAGACTAATTAGTATAATCCTTCTGCACTCTATACAAATATTAAAATAATTGCGAAAAATTTTAAATTCGGAAAATAGGCAACATAGAACAGATCAATTTCCAAATCTTTAACACGGGAGCCGGTTGCAACTGTTGCGAGACGCTACAGTTGAAAAACTCGAAGTAAAAAGTCTTTGAAAAGTTAGTAATTTTCATTTCGATTCAAGTTTCCATCTACCCAGGCGAAAAAGCTGCAGTTATGAAGAGAGAAGTCTATATAGAACAAATTTCAACATAGATAGACAAAATGACTAAATCCGCTTCAGTAATTGCGAAAAATGTTTCCCTAGAAGATTTCTATTTATATTATCATAGGAAAGGTCATGCACTAGATGATTGTGAAAAAAATTAAGCAGATAATGTAGAGACGAGGTACTGCAACCAAAAGAAAACTTTGTTTTTCCTGTGTGAAAAGTTAACATTAAGACATCAAACGAACAAAAGATCAAGATGCTTATGTGAAGCCGATGGTTGTAAAAAACCTTATCACAGACTCCTTCATAAGAACGTTTCCGACCCCTGATAAGAAAACATATTCCGAACCAGTTCATGGGTTGGTCGTGTAGATAAGAACGAATTACCAAGAATAGTGTACGTTAGTTTACATAGGCCAATTTGTTTTTATAGAGACTACAACTTTTTGCCATGAAGCATTGATTGTTTCTGTGATAGACAAATCGATTGCTGAACAACTGGGACTGGAAGGCAGAATGCAACCTCTTTAGATGCAGTGGACCGACAATATCTAGAAAATTTGATCCTACAAGTAATCAAGAAAGACCATTTTCAAAAATTATTAGGTCAAGATACAAATTCACGGTAATTTAGAAAACAGGAGAGCCAACCTAACGCTGAGAAAACAAATCTTGGTTCGCTCACATCTATAATCATGAATTTTTGATGAAGCTTTGAACAAGATGACAAAACAATCTTTCACAATTGAGACCTCTGTGGAGTTGTAACGGTGCCATACAAAATCAGTGAAGCCGAGATAAGAGCGCTATACTTTGGAGTTGTAAATCCTGAAAAATCTAATGACTGTCGCTTGATGGTTTATGCACCTTCTTGGTACAATAGAATAGGGATATTGGATAAAGATATGTTTCATCAGATTAGCCTCATTCCAGACCAGAGCTCTCAAATATTTTTTGGCGATATTAGTGACAGTAGTAAATCGTATAACACTTAGAAATGCAGATAATTATGCTTGGAGCTACCTGTTCTCCTAGCTGTGCACAATATATTGAAAGTTTCAATCTGAATCAACAGATAACACAGCAGAATATTTTGAATGACAACATTAAAAAACATTACGTTGACGATTATTCGGATTGTATTGGCATATTGTTAAGGCTTTCGTGGCTGAGATTTTCAGTGTTACGATCTTAATTAGGGTTTGTAGGCCGTCGTAGTTTGGAACGGTATCCTAACGTTTCGCTAGCATGAGTGGCTGGCTTCTTCAGGATTTATTCATCTCGATGATTCACCGTTAACAACGTCCACCTCTGCCAGTTGACTCCGTGTTTGGTGGATACGTACTCGTAAAAAGACTCGTTCACTTTTTGAATAGATCCGATTCGCCCGAGCTGATCTGATAGTTCGCTGTCATCGGTAAATCGTCAAGATGAATAAACCTCTGAAGAAGCCAGCCACTCGTGCTGGCGAAAGGTTAGGATACAGTTCCAAACTACGACGGCCTATAAACCCGAATGAAGATCGTAACACTGTATTGACATTACTTTGAGAATTGACACAGTTGAAGAAGGATAATAGAAGAGGTGAATGTTCCGAATTTGATTCGAAATATTCATTTTATTATTAAGGCGTTAGGTTTTTTGTGCCACTATCGGAAAATTAGAGTCAGTTGTGGTCTGCGAAAGGCTGTTATTGTGAGCGACGTGAAATCGACTGCCTCAGATTCTTCTGCACACTCTCACATACTACTGTGATGTTTTCGGCAGATCTTTCGTTTCTTCGACGTACGGGTGTTTGTTGATTGTTTATTGTGTAACCCCTATGATGGGTTTGAACTCTGTTTTTAAAGCAGAAGATACTTTCTGATAGGAATATTTATTTCCCAAACTGAGCCGCCATTGTAGCAATGCTAGGCTTATATCGAGGAAAACAAAAAATTACCTTGATCTTTATATTTATCAGTTTTGATAGAGAAAACTATAGCCAAAACTTAAAATTAGAGCAGCCGCTGTTACCCTTTATAATTTAGAAATGGAGAATGATACTTACTAGAGAACTATCTTAGATGTTGCCTGCAGAAGTGATTACCATTCAAAGGTTTGGCTTAGCTTCTCCCTATCAAATAGGCACTGTTTTAGAATAGAACAATTTTTTACTTAAGTCCTTCCAGGCGCTTTGTCGGGATATGCCATTGATACCTCTCGTATGAACTTTTCCTAGGAAGTTCCCTTATTTATGTGATATATGAATATACTCTACGTTCCCCCTTTTCCCCTGTTTCTCCTACCAGTATAACTACCGGCAAAAATGCACCGTATTCAAAGTTGATAAGTATAATAAAAAAAAAGAAATGCAAAAGTTACAAATATGATGTAAACGACAAAATAATAAAAAAAAACCATCAAAAGAAACACATTAACCTAGTCAGACCGTAAGAGAATGCTCAACCGACATTCGATTGAATATTCATAAACATGCCCTTTATTCGGCAACTCTATATGAGACAAGCTATTTAAATAAATGTTCACCCACAGTATTTCAATAAACGTATATGGTTAGCCACCACTAAAATTTTCTTACCAATAGCTCTCTTTCTCCGTTTAACTGTAGATAGCGGCTAGTCCTTTTATGTTTTACTGAATTTAACACAAAACACCAAACCAGAACTTCACTCGGTTGAACTGGCAACCAAAAATGAAAGAAAAACCGGGTTTTTCCCCAAACTCCAAGAAGTTCCTCGAATATCACACTAGTCGAATAACTCACGATTGACCTCTCGTTTGCCCCTTTCTTTCGAATACTTTAATAATAATGGACACTTTATTCACAGTAAAGAAACAATATATGAATATATATGAATAATACAATTGCATGGAGTGAACAAGTGATTAAGGATAAGTACAAAGTACTTGTTTCCTTGAAATTGGTCCAGATATGAGACTACGGACTCCATACAAATACTAGCACACCGTCAGGGGTCCGCGGAACACGTTTTGAGAAACATTGCTCTACTTAATACTTCCGCCATAATTTTATGTTATGAATCCTACTAGGCAACAAAGACTACCCTTCAACTAGATGTGAATACATTAAATCATTTTTTTAAAAAACGTATCTATAGGTTGAATATAAATCGGGAAAAACCATGTGGCACTTACCATATACCATGTTTTGGACATCTTCATTATCGTCATCGAAATGGGTCAAAAGAGTGTCGATAATCAGTTCATGATGAGCTCGGTAGTTGGCCTTTTTGAACTCTACTGGTACAGAATTTAAAAAAATAGGCAAATTCCTGAGAGCAGAGAATCGAACTTTTTCTGTTGGGTCATCCAGTCTTTTAAGAATCTCTAAAAAAATTATACTTTGTCAACACTGGGTATTACAGCTTATTGAAAAAATTACTTGCGATATCGGTAAAAATCATGAATTTAAAATAATGAACCAACCTGGATATATTTTGATTAGGTCATCAACATTCCACATATCTTTTTTGCAACACAGAGCTTTCAAGAACGCCAAACACTCTATGGCTATTTGACGACTGCGATAGGAGGCGTCTTCAAGCAAGGATATCAATAAAGGCAAGAGTTTTTCCGTCACAGGCCTCAAAGTATCATCAGAAAATAGATCTACTTCTGGAGATGGCATGAGAGCATGTTGAAGACACGCAGCTGCCATTGTTCTGATAGCTTCTGCTGACGCGCCAGGACGCCATACAAGGGAAGGGACAAAAATATCTGAAATGTTCAATTCGGATTTTTCATTTTATTTTTATATCTTGGAAATGATGAATTTGAAAAAAAAACAATTCCTAACATTTGACATTTCACTTCTCTGGAATCAAAAAACTTATCAAATAAGAC